GAGTCTGGAGATGCCACCCCAGAGCAGAGGAGCATCGCCTGCTCTGGGTCCACGTCCCTACTCAACCTCGGATTCTCTCCCGCCCACCCTGCGGCCATACCTGGAGAACCTGCCCTCTCCGACTGCTCTGGTCCCTAGTGATCAACGCACTCCAACGGGTCCTCGCACGATCATACCTGACCGCGACATCGCGACGCCAACACCAAGTCCTCAGCAGACTCGAGCTGCAGCCGCATTTGAGCTCGGTGCCGAAGAAAAGGAAGAGAGCGAAGATGGAGACATGGACACTCTTACCCCGGAGGAGAGACTCTCACCATCGGAAGAGCCTGCACTCGAACAGGACGGGAATGACGTCGATGTCGCAGGTGTGACCTTGGACGACGACGACTTTGAGTCACACTATTCTCGCCAGCAATCTTCGGAATCAGACGAGGAAGGAGACGAAGTTCAGGCGGAAGGAGAACCAGTCTCTCCCAAGGACTACAACGAAGAAGGGCAGCAGGATCAAAACGGTGCAGCAGGACCGGGAGAGCCCCTTCCGTCGGCTTCGGAGAGGCTAGAATCATTGTCGCGTGTGCGTTCATTGCCTGCTCGTCCAACGCTCTCTCAGACATCAGTGCAATCCCAACCTCAGCATCCAAGGGACGGACTTCACACCTCGCAATCAACGACCGCCCTCCCGCCTCCGCCCCCTCCGCCACTCTATCCTCCCTTCTACAATCGGCCACCAACTCCTCTGCCACCATCTCCCAGCCTAACTTCTCTGCTCCGCCCTCCCTCCTTATTGAATCGCTCCACTGCCTCAACTCGTCCAACCACACCTGACAGCTCCGATGTGGAAACCCCCAACGACACTGAAGCCGCTGTCGCTCATTCAGCTCGACGCGCACATCCAGTACCGCCAACATCACCCAAAGTGCCTACATATGAGTACTACGGCTTCGTTTTGTACTTGGCTTCGACCCTCGCCTTTCTGATTTACATCCTCTGGTCTTATCTCCCGTCTCCTTTCCTTCACGCTCTAGGGATTACCTATTACCCAAATCGATGGTGGTCTCTCGCCATACCCGCCTGGATCGTCATGCTACTTATTTTCATCTACGTCGCCCTCTTGAGTTATAACGTCGAATATCTGACTCTTCCGCTGACGAGTCTGGAATGTATGGTTGACGGCGCCGCAAATGTGGCTATCCTCGATGAGTCGGGACGAGTGAGAAAGGGGGGCAGCAAAAGATTGGTGAAGGAGCTAGAAGAGCGGGTCAGACTTGAGCGGGACATGGAGAACGCAAGAGCAAAGAGCGGGAAAGGAAGAAAGCACCCCAAGGCTGGAATCGAAGGCGCTCATCGGTCAAAAGACAAAGGAAAGCGGAAGTCCTCTCGACCAAGTGCCGATTATGCTTCGCAATCAGACATGCGGGCATGGGGATATGAAATTTCTCCATCTTCTCATGCCGCAGCGTCTTCCCTCCACAGCAGCCGGCCAACGCCATTCGCATATCACTACCCTTCAACATATCCTTTCATCCCGACAACTACACAATTAACTCAAAGCCAGCACGACTATCAGACGCAAGGAGCTTACCCGACACACCCGCATTGGAAGCTCGTTTGGAATGAGGGAACAGATGCAGTTATGGATGTGCCTATCGGTGGCGTGTGTGAGGTGCTGTATGGCTGAGCAAGACTCCAGACACTGATGGTGGTTGGGAGCCAGCATTCTCGTCTCAAATATTAGACCGGCGGTTCACCGGGACCCTCTCAAAACAGAGCCATCCCAGTTCTTATTTCCCTCCCCGCAAGTTAACATGAACTCTGTGATGGTGTATTGGGGATGGCTGCGGCACCATACCATGGACTCAATTCGTCAACAGTCTGATAGCAAGCAGATACCCCCCTCGTTTCTCGGTATGAAAGGAATCATGTGCATCTGTAGGAGACTATTTGGATTGCAGACGCTGTCTGCAAACGATCCAAGGGGCTGGACCAAATGAACACTTCCGGGTTTGTCGTACGCGCGGATTAGGTGCCAGCATTGTCGAAAAGGTGACAGCAAAATACTTACGGAGCAATCGGTAGAGCACTCTTTACCAGTGTTTACATGTGACGAAGATTTGCCGCTGGATTCGCGGATGCGGGAGATTGTGCGAGATTTTGATCGCGGACATCCAGTTGATTGGGGGGACATCCGCATGGGCGACGGATACCATTCGGGGTACGCGATCAAGGCAGAACAAACACTGCCCTCAACATTCGCTACAGAAACGTTGAGCTGACTCGGGTTCGGTGGCCGAGAAGGTCTCAGCGGACTGACACCGGCAATTCTTTCAGGTCGCCGGGATGGATATGTAGGCAATCCTGCCTCATAGACAGTTTCCGGCGCTTCGTCTCAGAGGGTTCGCGCCTGCCCAGCTTGTCTTGACGTGGTGCGGGCGAAACATGCGCTCAACAACCAGCCAAAAGAACCAGGATTGCCGGAAAATTGCCACAAGATGCGCGGTCTAACGTACCCTTTTTCCCTCATTGGGTTCGAGACAGTCAGTTCCTACATGCTTCTGGCATAAATCTCGGCAAGGAATTGGTGGTATCTTGATGGCAATATCAAAGAAACCTCATGGTACCCTTCAAGAGCTTCTCCACATTGATATTGTTCTTGATGATACGGTTGCAGCATTTTGGTCGCCGGATAGCGTACCCACCGATCCCATGTCTTAGGTGTCGGTTCTGGTTCACCTAATGAGCAACTCTCAGAGCCGTTAATCCGCCATGTGTCCAATATTTCAACCAACCATACTGCCGCGCAACGGAGGATGAGGTCCAACACCGAACTATGTACGAATCTGAGGTATCGTCGAACACCGTTCCTTCTTTACGGAGATGGACCCGGCGGGGGATGCACGAAGGACATATATCACCGCGTTGAAAGGCTGTTGAATGCAACTCTCCAGAATACTCGACCACCGAGGTTGCGCCAGCATCATATTACCGTTTCATCTGTGTCTCTTGAAGCCTGTTTGAGTCCGGATGGTACCACCACCTGCCCAAAATGTGCAAACTGGAGTACGAAATAGCAAGCCAATAAGAGTGGGCAATCTTGCACGAGGCGATTGGTCGAATGCGGCGTGAAAAGACGTTATAGACTGCGATTGGGCGCCACGTGAACTTGTCTAATGGTCTCGCCTTCTGCCAGCCTTGCAGCTTTTGCTTACATGGCAAATGCGATCCATTGACTAAGCGGAGGACCAACCTCGTTTCAGTGCCAGATCTTGTCCCTCGACGCGGTTGCTGGCTTGTCAAACAAGAGGGTTCCGGCGCTGCCAAGCGGAGCTCTAGCCTAGAACTTTGGCCTAGAACTCCCGGAAGAATGTGCAGTTTCTCCCAGTGGCATGACAATCAACTTTGCCGATTCTCGTGACAGACCACAAATTAACGGTCCCGAATCTTGATGACGGTCAGGGGAGGACAAATCGAAAACTGAACCAACAACAGAGCTTCCATTCGGCCCTGGGAGAATGGGTAGTCTTACACAACCGGTACCGTTAATGCTCGAAACGACACTCTCGTGGACATTCAAGGAAATTTGTGGCGGGTAAGCGCCCTGCTCCTCATGTTTGCTTCTCAAGCGCGACCAGCTCGATGGTATCACCCCAAGCCTGATTACCCAATCAAGTTGATTATATTGCAAACTCCGTTCTCGGCCTAGTGCGAAAGGACAGCAAGAGCGGCCACGGCGGACTCGGTCAGAAAGTTGCTGGCGCTCAGACCTCAACACACGGTCTACATGTCGTTGGAATGAGCGGGATGTCCGCAAGGCTGCGGGAACAGGGCATAACCTTGACTGCACAGGGATTCAACTTCCGAGGTTAGTGAGACCCGGCCAGGGCTTTATAGTGGGTATACCGATGAGCAAGCCATATACGCCCTGGAATCGCATATAAATATTTATATTGGAAAAGAGCTATATCATCTACGATGCACCGAGTACAAATTTCCGAAGGGGAAATGTTGCATTTTCCAAAGCAAGCATTGCGGGATGATACCCGCATAGCAGCAAGTTTCATGCCTACTCGGTTCGAGGTGCTAGGCGACTGACGGAACGCGGGGGAAGGCAACTGGCCAATGCCGTCAACTCCTTCGAGGCTGAATACCAGACGGAAGTCTCCGTGATCAGCACGAATCAGATATGGGATCCGTGGTATATGGTAATCTTCCTCAACGGTCGACGAACTCGTGAATGGGATTTCTCCCACGTTACAGCCGCGGATTAGGCGCCACGAGGGTTGACGGGTGCTGAGGGTGCCTGAACTTGACGACTTAGTGGCCTGATCTGCATGAGTCCGTCTATCTAATTGCTTGATCGTTCCCACCTGACGAAAACTGTTCAACGCCTTTGTACCGGACCCTGAAAAAGCACATGGCAACAATACGGAAAGACGTTGCCGTCGGAAAAAAAACTTAAGCTCTTTACAGCCATCGAGATGCAGTCCTTTATTCTTGAGGCTCCTTCCTACCCAGACGATTCACTCGACTGCCACATTCCGGCAGAGAGACACTCAGGGATCATTATCCCTGGGTCCGTTAATAACGGCCACCTTCTTCTATTTCTTCGTAGGTGCTTGCTGTGCGTCTCTAAGGCTGATTGCTGCTGTGCTGTCCCTAATTGAAGCTAAGGATCAAGGCCAACTACCCATCGAGCGCAAATTCAGCCGGGGAAGTTGACACTGTACCACGAGGAGTCGATACCGAGGCGCACGAGTCGAAGCAAGCAGTCAGTCAAGTGATCCATTGGCACGGCAACTCAAATGGCCTGCACTAGAGGTTGCCCATCCCAACAAGGACCAACATCATCAGCGCTATCACATACAATCGAACCTCTGCCGCTACCAAAGGGCCGATTCGGCCCCTGTCAGTGCGGCACTTGTCCGAAATTTTATGCGCTCGATGGCACCAGTCCCGCAATATCTGTTTGCTCCTCCTCCCAGGGTGAAATGTCGCCTGGCACCATGTTCGCGAACATCAATAACCCGACCGTGGAATTTCTTCAGTCTGCTCATGACACTGTCAGGCGTTTCGGAGGACCTCAAGACGTGGACATTGCCGGTCACTCGAACAGCGTGCCTTGCCTGGATCAGCCCGATCTGAAGTACGGCGCCTTCCCGATGATGAGCGTACCAGATCAGGGTAACGGCACACCGAGCAGCCCAGAGTGCGTGCTTGCATCCTTCGAGCCCGTTAGCACTATCGCAACCCGGAACGAGGTCAGTTTTAAGCAATGGTGGGTTTTTTCAGAACTGAAATGGACTGACGCTCCTCCTCACAGAGACGGAAGGCGCAGAACCGCGCAGCTCAAAGAGCTTTCCGCGTTCGCCAGCAGCAAGCTTTAACAGACGCACACTCCAAGCTGCGCTCCCTGCAAGAAGAATTGGAAGAAGCTACCGGAAAGAAAGATCATTTTGAACGACTATATAAAAGCCTCAGTCGTGAACATGAGCGTCTCCTCAGAACGTTTCAGGAGTTATTGGTGTCGGTACAGTCTACATAGGTCCTTGGGGACTGAGGTTTATCTGTCACACTAGATATGACCCTTCTCCTAGAATGAGGAGGCCAAACCTATATGTATACATATATATACAGCTAATCACGTCAACACTAACCTCGAAGCCCTGCTACGTGGATCGTTCATTATCTATCCCTACAAAATGACAATGGGAGTATGGCGCCTCAGCATACCCATCGAGGCCGGGCTGCAGCGATCGGGGGACTTCTGAGATTCATTCCGACGATTCTCCCCGATACGGTAAAAGGTGGTGTAAGAGCCCGCTCGAGGTGGAGATAGAACGTACCTCTCAGACTGTGGCTAGCAAGCATCCATTGGATGAATTCCTCCGCGTCGGATAACATGTTGGCCTCTTGAGCGTTAGTCATCAGTGGGATGACTGGCACCTCGGTGGCACCCAGCCACATAGTGAGATGGCGGTTTAAGCACCCCGCAAGGCCCGAGGGCTCTTCTCAGCATGGGACAGTTGTGCCACAGTCGTCTCTAATTCACGAACACCTCGATTGCTTGTTGCTCACTTCTCTGAGCAGGGGTCAGTCGTCACGGACGTATTCTTGGGCACGTCGCATCTTCAATCCCACCAGCCGTGTCGGCAGCAAACTCTTAAGTCGCAAGAGGGGTGGTTGTGAAGCCAGCACACCGTCGAGAGTTGAACCTTGAGCGGCACGTACATCCCACCTTATCCGCATCTGGTGTTTGCACAAGCATGTCTAGCGATCATGATCAACCTGCCAGCAAGTGGGGTGCCACAAAGAAGAAGCCGGTCGTTATTTCTGGATTCGAGTTCGTGTTAATGGGAGCAGATGGTGCTCTCGACAAGGCCGGCATCAGCCAAATAAGAGCACATACTACGCGAGAACTGCACAGGACGAGACGACAGAATGGCCAGGTATGTCTATTTCCTCGTGCAGGAGACAACTCCAGCACCTATTACGACTGCCTGTTGGCTCCAAAGCCCAATGCAAGGCCGCTTAGCTAATCCTGTAGTATCAGGTATTACTGCCGCGACGTCGTCGCAATGGCGCTGGTAATATACTCTTTGGCTCTCAGTTCGATCCTTTCCACTCTCTCCCACAGCTCCCGATAGAAGAACGCATACCCGGGATACTGGACGAGATCAAACATAATGGTAACCTTGGCCCTTTCCAACTCTACCTCTACGATTCCTGTACTTCCAGTATTCATGGGCGCGATTCCCGATTTTGGCCCACTAATATCGTGTCTAGTCTTCATAGTGTATAACCAGAAAGGGATGCAACAGAGCGTCTGGCCTGAAGGAGCTAAAAACAGCACCTTCTTCACGGCCATGCTACTCATGTGTTCGGTCCATCTCGACGGTCTGAGCTCGAAATCGACGTCGCCTACCACCACTGCTTTGAAGTTGGAAGCCATGCGACGCGTTCGAATTCTTATCCAGCAGCATTCCCCACTTGCGATCATCAGCTGCATCTCTGCCATCGCTTGCCTTGCAACATGCGCTTTAGTAAGTCAGAATTAGAAGCCTTTTCCACGTGCTCAAGGTTACAAGCATAGGTGACAAAGCTTATGAAGAAGGTAATGGAATCAGGCTAGGCTGACCTTTTAGGTGCGTGGAGAGCTGGCAGGGGCAGAGGAATACGTTACGCACCGGAACGCTTACGCAGTGCTCATTAGAGAAGCAGTTAGGCTGCACATGTTTGAAGAATCGAGATTTTGCAAGGATGTTCTGAGGATCATCACGATGATTGCGTGAGCATATGAAAACTAGTTAGGCCAATTGACCAATGCTCACTCCCCAGCACAGGATATCGAGACGATGCCGCATACCCATACCTGGCCTCGCTACCCCAGCAAATCCACAAACTCTTCTCAAGGAATATGAGCACGTTTTCGAAGACAAATGGCATTCACGGATTCAGGCTGATCCAGAACTCTATTCGCCCTTTTACGATGGAAGGATAGACCCTAGCGAAGACCCGTTCCCATTTCTGAGGAGAGATCATCTCCGATTGCTGGTGCAGATGATGCAATCGGTGGTCAAGATCTGGACTCGGCGAGATCCCTGCTCGGCGCAACAGCAACTGACCGCTGACACATTGATATCGATGTCTTTGTGCCAGCGCATACTGGCCATGCCGTCCTCAAAGATACCCGATCTACCATGCTCCACCGATTACGTCTACGAGGCCTGCAGACTGACCTCTGTCCTCCTAATTCGATCAGTTGAAAGCAACAGACATTGGCGGTTAGTGGCTAAAGGCACGTCAATACTTCAAGACATCCGAGACGCACTCCACAAAACCGATCTGGACAACCTGTGGGACAAGGATATTGGTCTACTTTATTACGTCGTGCTAGTCTTCCACAGCGCCACCTTTGGCACGCCACACTACCTGTTCGGCCATATCCTCCAAACAAGGATACATTTTGCGGTTACGTATTCATACGACGACTGGATTGGCGCGATCAAACCCATGTTGACGCTTCACGAACTGATGCCGTCGAAGGAGGCCGCGTTGCCAGAACGGTCTGCAAGATCGGGCTCTGCGGCCAATTACACCGAAACTTTGGCCGACATGCAATCAAATGCAGAGTCCGACAACATAATACTTTCTTCCCCGTGATGGTGATACAAGTGGATGGTTGAATGCATTCGGAGCTCAATCGGACTTCGGACTGTTCTCGCACGGACCATGACGGGCAACATTAGGCCACAGCTGAAAGTCGCACTGCGAGCCCCGGGGATTCCGAAGAAATATACCAAGTAGGGATACCGTCTAGCGCAAGTTAGACAGACAGATCTTGCAGATGGAAGCCGGTTGGTCAAGCATGTTCCTGGGATATTGTCACACTTCAGCACTGCAGCAGAGACGAAAGAGATCTCTTTTTAGCGGTACAGGCGCCGCAGACATTATAAATCGATCGGATCCGCTCAGGGTCTTTGAAGACCTCTTCTAAGTCGGCTCAAACGCTGGGGTATATATAGTGAAAGGCCAATCCAGGGGCAGTTCGTGGAGACACTACATTCAATTCATGGTCGACAGTGGAAAAACAAAAATCTCGGTAACAGCGAAATCCCTATAGGACCATGAGCCTCAAAATGGACAGTCAAATCCTAGATTCTTTTTTCGGCGCGATGTTTCCCATCCCTTCATGAAAGAGGTTGGGAGCTGATCGCAGAATGGCAACGTTTCTGGAAGTATTGCCAAGGTTTGGGGAAATCTGCACGCGCCTGACCCCTGTCCAGGAAATATCTCCTCCTTAGCTGACGCCGCCCTTGTTCTTCCCCAGCTCACCGGTCGTGAGGGTGAAATCATTGCTGTCGCCAAATGAAGCCGTTAATCCTGAAGAAGAAAAATATTATTCGTGAAGGAACTCGGGATTACGAACGACTCTAACTACTGGCGGCTTGGCACCACACACGTGAAGAAGACCACACAACGGTTAGGAAAACACCTTGTCTTGCGGGACTATTTCTCTGACAAAAGCTGCAAAAAAAAAGGGTAGGCAAAAATGAAGAGAGTGGGATTCGAACCCACGCGGGTTGCCCCATCAGGAAACGTAGTGTCAAGGCTGTAGCCTTAACCTGACGCCATAACCAAGCTCGGCCATCTCTCCAGGTTGATCTGCTGCTACACAACAGGCAATTGTTGAAGGGAATTTTACAATTTGAATATAAGAAGAGTTATCCCCGCATATCGCTTACGCGAGGACAAAATGTGAGTGCTAAGTCGCTCGCTAAGCGTAAATCGGTCTAGAGCGCGACTTGGCATTTAATGAGCACCCACATAAACTCCGAGTAGATTTATCATTGCTTTGAAGTGTCCAGCGCCCCGAGACTACTAAGGCAAGTTTTGTCACAGATTATGTGACGAGGACTCCTGTCCCCATAAAGGCATAGCACCGGCCAATGCAGACTTGAATGTCAACCCCCCAAGGGCGAGAAGCATCTGGTCTCCTGAGAGCCATGGTCTGTTCATGCCGACACTTTACGCGAGATCTGATGCTCGGTCGAGACGCTACGGCTCAAACGTGCATGGTCATTCTCGATGACTCGGGAACAAATGGGCCCTTGTTAGTTGGTGGGTGAACTGGCAACTGGCCTTTAGCATCCGAGGTGATCGACATTCATCACATCATCACGTCTTTTCCGATGGCTCAAGTGACCTGAGTACCGGAAGCGCCTCGAAGAAACGCTAGACCAGGCCTCGAAGCAGTACTAGGTATAATGAACCTAGAACTTCTCAGTCTGTTTCGGACATTGTCATCAGCAGATCACCGTGTCCGTTACTGCTCTTGAAACAGGCTCCCGTGTCATCCAGTCCGTATTTGCTTTGAAAATGAGGCAGGACAATGCCTTTACGACTACCCGCACCGCGCAACCGGAGCTTGCCACAAGAGCGTGGAAGCTCGCGTATAACAGAAGGCGAGCACGATAGTCGCCTCGCAATAGCCTATCTCCAGAAGGTCGGGTAGCTTTCTACTAGGTACTCTAGAGCCATGCAAGCAGCGTGGCGGAACAACAATTCTTCCGCCGGATTGTGGTCTCGTGCTTCGCATTCGCCCTGCGTATTCGTATTTCAACATCGACACGTTAAGAGCCAATCACAATCTGCCAACAGACAAGAAGACCTATCATGGCACATGCGCAAGGCACACTCGACTGCAATCTGGCGTTTACAATGGATATTAATGCCAGCTTTGTTGCGTCCAGAGGAGAAGCGAGGTTCCTCCCATTGGACATATTGGCACCAGTGCCTGACGGATAGGCGAGTCAGCCTGATGGGAAAAGGCAAGGCTGACTCCATGCCGAATACGAAATAGACAGGTCTTAATTACTTGTCCAGTGTATGTTGGATTGAGGTGAGATCATAATAACTGTTCCGTGCCTCTCCATGCGATGCTTTGCGCTGCCTATAACTGCCCCGATATTTGGCTTTGGTGGATTTTCGCCTCGTTTGACTTTTCCGATTGATGTCCTCACCGGATCCCTCCACTTGCCGTAACTGTTCAGGAAGATAAAAAGCTTGACCCAACGGTCTCGATCCTATGGACCGAAGCTGTCAGTCGTCCAAACACTCTTCCTTGACAGTTCAGCTAATCGGATCAAAGCCGACATTAACAAGTTCCTCGACAATATCGCCCAAGGTCCATCAGCTGTTTTTGCCGTCCTCTTCGCTGCGTCGGCTGGATTACATATATGGCAGAGCAAGTGCGTGTCTCCATTAAAGTGTTCCTCTGTAACATTTCTTCGGGCTGCTAACCCGGTCACTCTTGCAGGAAGTACAAATGCTGGAGGGACACATGGCCGCTCCCGTGCGCCTGCATTATTATGATGGCCGGTTTCATTTGTCGCGAGATTGCTGCAGATGATCATGATGCAAACAGTCAGGCCAGTGCAATTCAGGGGCTGTTCTACAGCGCGACGTAAGTCCAAGAGAGACCCGGTCTTCTGCGCAGGTCTGGGAGGATTGGCTACTGACAATGCATTAACCTACAGACCAACATTTACCCTTCCTCTATACATCTTTTTGCTCTTCTCTTCAGTCACCATTGAACTGTTGCCGTGGCTGCACCCAACTCTTTCCTACATCACCATTTGGGTCTTCACTAGTGCGATCATCTCCTGCACCGCTCAGGGTGCTGCGACATACTTCAACCCAGACGCGAAGAAAGGCTCCATCGGCCCAGCTCACGCTCTCCTCAAAGCAAGCCTGTTTCTGCAGCTCGCTCTGAACGGGGCGTTTGCCTGCGTCCTCGTCAATCTGCTTTTTCGACGGAACGCCACTGCTAATCGACGACGAGGCCTTCTGCTGTCCATGTTTGTTCTGATAGCGCTGATTTGCGTGCGCAATGTCTTTCGGACGATCCAGCTCTTCGTCTCACCACGCTCCCCACTGTGGACTAATGAAGCGTATTTCTGGGTCTTTGAGAGCTGCGCCATGCTATGCTACACAGTATTGTTTCACACCCTCCATTTGGGAAAATATGCGCCTCCTGGGTTCGGCGACTGTGCCCAAGGAAGGCGGTGTAACTGAGGGCACGAAGGTATTTGTGCTTGGACTCGACTCGCGAGTGTCGACACCACATCCGACATGGTTGCCGAAGTGTCAAGCCCTGATTGGTCAGCTTTGTATGAGTTGTATCTCTCTTTGGCATCACAGCCTTGCAGGGACATGGACCAATTGGGAACCTGATGACGTTTACCGAAGCAAAGAACCTCGGTGGATCCCCGGCAGTTGCAGAAAGTTCAATTTTTTCACTTTTGGACGGAGATGATTAGTGGTGGTGGAGGAGGTGGTGGTAGCTAGTGACTTGATCATGTTTTGTACTCTCTTCATCTGCTCAATTCTACGTCGTATACACAAAGAACTCCAATACGAAGGAAATCAGACTCGCCATGCCGCTTCCAACCGGAGTCTACCGCGCTGACCAAGTCGGGTCTCTCCTTCGGCCGAAGGAAATACTCGAGGCCCGTGAGAAAGTCGTGGCTGGAGAACTGTCCAAGTCAGAACTCCGGCAGCTCGAGGACAAGTACATCGCGGACGTCGTGCGGAAACAGCTAAATGCGGGCCTACAAGCCATCACAGACGGCGAGTTCCGTCGCGCATTCTTCCACCTAGACTTTCTCCAGCATCTGGACGGCATCGAGGTGCGCGGGAATATGATGTCGACCAACACCTCCAAGGGCGGATTTGCACCCCCGAAACTGGTCGTTACCGGGAAGCTGGGCCACAGCAAGCCCATCCAGGTCGACGATTTCAGGTTCTTGGAACGCCAGATCGCCGAGGCCGGTGGCCCGGAGAGCTTTGGCAAGGTTTTGGCGAAAGTGGCGATCCCCAGCCCGACGATGGTGCATTTTCGAGGCGGGCGCGAGACGATCGACCTCGACGCGTACCCGTCCATGGACATCTTCTTTGACGACCTCGCGCGGGTCTATCAAGAGGAGATTCAGGACCTATACGATGCGGGATGCCGGTTCGTACAGCTCGACGACACGAACCTCGCGTATCTGTGCGATCCAAAGATGCGGTCCGAGGCAGAGAGCAGACACGGCAGCGACGCCAAACAGCTCGCGAGCCAGTACGCGACTCTGATCAACCGAGCCATCGAGAAACGGCCCCATGACATGACTATTGGGATCCACCTGTGCAGGGGCAACCACCGCAGCCAATGGTTCGCGCAAGGCGGCTACGAGCCCGTCGCCGAGGTCCTCTTCAAAGACCTCAACGTCGACGTCTACTTCCTCGAATACGACGACGCGCGCTCCGGCGACTTCAGCCCCTTGCGCCACCTGCCGCCGCACAAGGTCGTCGTGCTCGGCGTCATGACCAGCAAAAAGGGCGACTTGGACGACAAATCCGCCATGATCCAGCGCTTGAACGAGGCTGCCAAATACTGTGGGAAGGGCCTTGATCAGCTCTGCCTCAGCCACCAGTGTGGCTTTAGCAGTACCATGGAAGGCAATGAGCTAAGCGAGGAGCAGCAATGGGCAAAGATTCGGTTGGAGGTCGAGATTGCCAAGGCGGTTTGGGGCCCCAATACCGCGGAGTGAGTCGCCCCTGAAAAAGCTACTCTTGAGGGGCTCGTAAACGATCCGAGAAACACGGAGAAGGAGAGACGAATTGTATACGGCGCAATCAATTCACCTTCAAGCAAGAGTCGTGAGTTATGAAATTCGGTAGGGTGGTGGGGGATGAAAACAAAGAAAAAATATCCTCGAATCTTGTGTAAGCCGCTTTCAACAACGGCGAGACAACAAGACGGTAGAACGACAAGACGAACAGTATGTTCAATGCACATATGGAGGAAGATGCCAGTCATAATACATCAGGATGTACTGGCACTGTTCAACATCGATACCCACCTACGCTGTGCTGTGAGGTCTAAGACTGAGGTCTCCGCAAGATATGACTATGTCTCAAAATCTAGATGTTCGTATGGAATCCACTAAAAAGTACCGCTTGGTCCTCAACCTGAGATTTACCAATCCCCATGGACAGCATTGTATTGATTGGTGAGAAAGTCAACCCCGGTGGTTTGCGTAAGGCTGTGCAGGTTCTCGCAGTGCCAGTCCCTGCAATGCGGCATGCATGCGTCTCGGGCGCATGGCATACATGTGATTAAGCCAGCACCCAATTGCACAGCCACTCGAATTCAGCCTCACCTCGAGCTCGGAATTTCCACAGCTACCCCAGCTGGCCTATTTGTGACCAAGATTTTCTCCTCAGTTTTCACCAACATTCCGTCTGTCTGTCCATCAAGTCTACCATTTCAGGCAGGAAGTTGACCCATATCAACCATGGCTGACGTAGCTGCTGGAATACTGGGACTTGTCTCGACAGCCGACGTCGTTTTTACTCGCCTGTTCAGGTACATCAGGCACGTCGAAAATGCTGACGAGGAAATCCTGGACCTTGCAGCGCAAGTTAAAGCTCTACAACGGACTCTGCAAAGCATCAGGTTGATCGTCGAAGACCTCAAGAAGCTCGATGGTAGCCACAGAGCTATTCTTGACACCAAATAGATCCAAAGCTGCATGGTAGCACTCGATCCGCTTCGAGAGACCCTCTCAAAAAACTTGTTTATGACCATTCGCAGAACCGACATCTAAATTTTTCGCGCACTTCCGACAACCTCTTTGAACTTATTCTTGATATAGAGAGCTGTTTTGAGAATTCTATAGTCTCGGTTGATGACCTGGACGAGTGCGGCGATATTAGACGAACTACAGACTACCTTGCACGTCTATGCAGGCGCTCACTCTGAGTTAGGACAGCTCTTTTCAATCGGGATACCGCCGAAGGTTCGAGATTTCACTTGTCCGACTTCCAATAGCTCTCCATTGCAGCTCAAAGCATCGATCTTCGACTCTACGTCGCTCCAGAGATGGAAATGAGGCTGAGGCCTGAGTCTGCAAGGAGATTAAGGATCAAAAATCCGGATTTGAAAGGGGAGATCCTGGACAAGCTTATCAACGGGGCCCATGGAATGTTTAGATGGATTGCCGTACAGCTCGATTACTTCTGCGACCTGCCATCAGATTTCGACCTTCAAGAAGCCTTGAAATCGCTCCCTCCCGATTTCTTTTCATCTTATGCACGCCTCCTAGTTCGCATCAACAAGATGACAACAACAACTCAAGACGTTGTGGCACGTGTACTGAAATGGATCACACATAATATTATACCTGTGGAAGCCCTGCTCGAAGCCTTGTCAGTGAAGCCTGGGATTCGTCGTTTGGATCCGACAAAAAGACTTGACGTGGATGAAATTCTCATGTTTTGCGGAAACCTGGTGCGCTTAACGTCGGATGGGAGATATATTGAACTGGCACATTTACGGTCAAAGAATTTTTGATGTCTATCGACCTTGCCACCCAGCCAGAATTCGTCAAGTACAAATCGGAGATTAGGAGACATTCGTCTTATTTGAGTGTCACTATGTTGACCTATCTGACATGCGATGGCTCTTCTGAGAGTCCTTTTTCGTCACGCAAGTGGGAAAGAGGGAGTGATGACCGTCCTTTTCTAGAGATTGCCGTGGATGATTGGGAAACCTTCGCACGACATTGTGATGGTGATGAAGAAGCTGACCTGCTCTTGCAAAAGTTTTTCTGTCTGTCCAGACCTGCATGTATCACTTGGTGGGCTCAGCATATTTCGCTTTGTACGAAATATGGGATTTCTCTGAAGATGGTGAGGATCAGACGCTTGACTAGGGGGCTATTACACCATTGCATTGGCCTGCTATGCTGAGGATGGAAAGAGTTTGTAAGTGGATTCTTTCTAAACCGGGGCCTTGCGACCCCGATAGCCCACTTGGAACACCACTTCAAATGTTGTTGATGGGCGATAGACTTCGTTACACGTTACACGAAGAGAGCTAGAAAGAATGTATACATGCGTGGAAAAGATATGATGGTGACGAAGGCCGCCTCCACGAAACAATCCAGCATCTCATTGCCAACGGCGCAGATGTTAACAAAATCTTCAGTCCTTTCCCGAGAACCTGGCAACATCCCTCAGTGCTGTCACTATACATTATGCTCCATGGATGTGGTTGGCCAGAAATCACTACGTAGCTTTTGAAAGCCGGAGCAAAATGCGATAATAGCGTCATTGAAATTCTTGAGGACTACCTCGAAGAAGATTTGGATAGGATCTACAAAGCAGTCTGCAAGGAGAAAAATCCGAAGCTGGAGCAGATTCCAGTTCCCATCATGGACATCATCCAATCTGTTCAAAACCACCACTATCACCGCAAGTATGGAGAACGTATTCGAAAATTGAAAGCGAAAGTGGATTTGGCGCGGAGAGATATAAAGGTTTAACTCACAAAACGGATGAAGACTAAAACTCAGAAGAATCAAGGCAAAGAAACTTGTCAAAATCAATCACGAAGCGAGCGAGAATGGTCTAGGGAAACTTGGCGGAGGCCGTCTGTGAGAGATGTCCATAGAATGTCACGTTGTTTGTAGTTGGGAATTCCACAACGGCCAACTGTCAGGCCTGAGGAACAGTCATTCCTTCATCCTTAGCCAACAGTACTGGCTCCAAGAATTCGGATGAACTTGGATATTCTGATAGTAGCAGCTTATTAGCATTTTCGTCTATGTGGGATACCTATATTCACATCGAAGTCAAGGTTGTATACTTCCTTCAATAATATCATCGACTCCTCCATACTGTGTTCGTTCAGAGCACGAATCCTCCCAATATGCGTTGTGGTCTAAGAGGCCAATATTATCTGCCGCTGCATTTAACATGTTGGGCTTTTATTGCGCTTTCCGCTTAAACAGAGTCTCGAAATACTGCGTACTTCCATGATTTTAGTCTCTGGCCAACCTTAGTCTGATCTGCGACGTCGATATCGTCTGCTTGCGTGTCGATGACCTACGGAAGTATGATGGTTACAGAGACTTCCTTAAAAGAACTGCCTTTCGCAACGTGTCACGTATTAGGACTACGAGGCGCTGCAGATCCAGAAACAAACTTCACGTGATGCTTTGGGAACAAACCTGCAGCCGCAAAAAAGGAAACAAAGGTGAAGTAGCATTAGAGCGGGCGGAGATTCCACCGAGGCGGGCAATTTCCCGCATTTTGTCATCAATATTGCCTTCACCAAGACTCATTTGGTCTTTTGGCGGCCATAATAGCCGTAGCTGCCGTCCTGCAGGCCCCAATTGCCGTTTCCACAGTGTGATTGCAGATGGCAGCCTGCACGGAATTGTACAGTCTTTGATCCGTGTCCAAGATGTTTCGCTCGTCATGTGTCCGGACGTCAAGGCCCGGAAATGAGACGTCGTATGCTGCTCAGGGAAGTGCTGCTGCGATCTACCAGGAAGCGGTTGCCAGGTGATGCTTGATTGAGAACCTACAGAAAGGTGAAACCTGAACCTATATCATTAGCACTAAACCAGCAGAAAATCGTCCTCGAAATCGTCAGGTCAGAACAAGTCCAAGAGAAAAGGGTACAAAGCAGTAACTTCGTGTCGATATAATGTCGCCTAATGGAACCAATGGGACGACCGAGCCCAAACACGGCAAGATGATATCGAAGAACGAGTATATGCCAGGTCTGCCTGCCAAGCATCTCAATACTCCAGTCGAAGTCACTCCATCGTCCGAGGAAAAGGCCGCTGGGCGGTTCAATGATGCCAACATCAAGGTGTTCCTCTCTGGGATGCACAGAGACGGTGTGGTTATTCTTAAGGACATCATCAACCCAGATCACCTCGATGTCATCAACGAATTCATGATTGAGGACACCAAGAACGAACTCAACAAGGAGAATTTGTACAAAAACTTCGGTGCCGAGAATATTCAACAAGGTCCTCCTCTGACGCCCCCAAAATACTTCTTTAACGACGTCTATCTGAATAAGCTCCTTTTTCATGCCGTCAATCTTTACCTGGGACCGAACGCAACATGGAACATGGTCAGCGGCAACAACGCCTTACCTCATGGTGTCAAGCGGCAACCTGTTCATTCTGACGCCATGTGCAATCATCCCCCAGCACCTTTCTACGTGGTTGCAAATGTCTACACCTGTGATGCTAGCGCTGCCAATGGCTCGACAGAGATTTGGCTGGGGACGCATCATTTCAACACTGAAGCTCAGACACCGCCCGGTCCAAAAGGTGAAACTCACATCACAGACGAGTATGTGGCGGAAAGGCAGAAAACTCTGCCTGGTATTCAACCTACGGTGAAGAAAGGTTCGATCTTGTTCCGCGATATGAGATTGTGGCATGCCGGAGTGTGCAACAAATCCGACGACATGCGGTACATGATTGCCTTGGGCTTCTCTGCCAGCTGGTGGCACGGCACAGCAAAGTTCAGAGTCCCCGCGGGGACAGGGGTATTTGAGCGCATCATTCACGGCACCAAGGGGCAGGGGATCACGCCTTTGATGATTGAGCTGCCCCCTGAGGAGTATGAGAAGCTGCGGGATGCACATGACTTTAGCGATGTCGAGAAGATGACGTACGAAGGTGAAATATTCTAGTTAAGCACTGCGAATCGCTGGGTATCAAGATCAAATTGCCTGATACAGCCTTAATTGCGGATACGCTGAATTCTTCGCAGGATATCTGCACCCTTACGGGCGCTGCACAATCTGTCTCTTCGCAAGAGTCCTCTCTCAAACTCGATGTCTTGGATAGAGCTCGTTTAATGAATGCGAAGCTTACTAACTACAAATAGAAGAAACTGACAATAATTTCACCCATCAATCTCCCTTCTTCTCCTTACCTCTCGGTGGTAAGTCCTTCGCGCCAATGGTGCCACAAGGCTGATTGAAAGCCTTGCAGTTGGTGGCCAATCGGCTACTGCAACAGTATCCCGCATCACGTGGACGGAACGTCGAGATCGTTTTCCGGACGCCAATTGACCACTCTCTATCTTCGTTCCTATCTCCAGCTTCTCCGTTCTTCGTTCACAACATCATCCCTGGTAAGCCATGTCGCCCGCTTGCCAGACCCAGAACAGCAATGATTGTCCGGATCTCGCGCAACTTCTGATAGTTGCGCTTGGATGTCTCCCGGTATCAAACTCAAGCAGGAAAGGGATAATGATACCTTTGACTGCGAGTGCGTTCCTGATGATGTTCCGTACACTCGAAAGCTATCGACTACAAAGCGCAAGCTCAGAACTGTAGCGGTCAGCCAGCACAAAAGGCTCACGCTCGCCCGTCGCTGGACCGGAAAGGAGATCGCAAAGTAAGTCTTTCGGAATCGAACAAGATGCGCGCCTCCTTGATATCATTTATTGCTTTTGCCAGCTACGTCTGGGGTCTTCCCACTGCTTCGCCAGTTCGAGGTCAGAATTCGAATTGTTTCCCGTTTGGAAGTGCCTCATTCAATGGCTCCCTCAAGGCACCCAACACGACAAGGAAGGAGTGGTGGTGCCCTCAATCTATGACATACGGTTTCCTTGGCTTCTCCTATCCTATGGAAGGAGAGTGCTATGATGACAGCTTTGACCGCATCAACGCCGACTTGCAACGCCAGAAACGTGATTTCGGCGCAAGTTTGATCAGAGTTTACCTTCCCTATTGCTATACCACCTATCTTTGGGAGAACCTCATCAAAGCAGCTGTGGCCAATGATATGGGAGTCGTTGCGCAAGTCGCTTGGCCTCTGAACGGCGATCCAGTATGTTCGAAACTCCCTTATAAGACCGCACATTTACTCAATTTCGCCGACAGCTCGAATACTGGCAGAAAATTGCCGCCTCCATAATTGAGATCCTCTCAAACAGCACTTACAAGGATATTGCACCCTACGTGTTTCACAGCATTGAATTCGGCACGGAACCAATTGGTGATCAGGACGACGGTGACAACTTCATCAATGACCTCGTTAACTTCAAGGCGGCAGTTAGACCGTATGGTATCCCAGTCGGTATTAGCGAAGATTGGGACCGTCCCGGGATCATGTGTAGCAATTACACGGCAGGGCAAGCACCAGGTCTCGGGCCCACTGGAAAACAAATCCTTCCGCAAAGTGACTTTGTCCACGCTCATATTATGCCATACTATCATGGATACAACATATCTGGATCATGGAACTATATCAGTGACCAGGTGCACTGGTACAAGAACTACACCGCTGTTCCACTCGTAATCTCTGAGGTAAGACGCATTCTCTCTCGAACTGTTTGCTGCAGGGCTAACGCTTGCCTTTTACCCAGACACAATGGGCTTGGGAGCTCAACGTTCTACACCAAGGAAGCAAAGACATTGGCACACCACAGTACACGACGTTCTGGAAGACATACGACGAGAACTGCCAGTTCTTCAAGAAGAACAACGTCGGCTGGTTTTTGCATGCGTGGAAGTGGGAGGGAACCTTCAACATGGTCACCCCGAATGGCTCATATGCGATACCGAATTGGACACCGCAAAAGTGCTAGGGACGAGTTAGGGATGTGAGTAAAATGCTCCGAAAGCGCAGGAGGAGACTTAGGAGTTTAAAGTTGGTAGCATCCAATAGTATGTCATTAGTCATTGCATCAACCGCCATCAATTCCATTCAGGGCACGGAGTGTTTGAATCTAGATTTGAACATTCGCATATACTAGCGGAGGGGTAAGTGGGCCTGAATTCTGTACGCGTGACTATTAGCTGACACATGTCACATAGTATCCACCCACAAGACGCACCCAGACGAATACTACCCTGACTTATCGCTGTCTATGCACCGGCAAAAGGTCCAGTCCCATCCGTGTCTTTTGCCAGGATCGACCACGGAGCCACGGAGCCATGCACACTTTTCTCCGTCCCTCGAATCTGCGAGTCAAGTGAAAGACTGATCAAACGAGGCCACTGGTGGCTGGGGCGAGTTCTGTAAGCTGCCCTATGCAAGGCTCCATCCATCACCCGCGCTGCGCCAGGGTCAGGGCCTGATGTTTGCCTGGGAAGGGGGCGCTTTTCATGTACATCTACCATACGTACGTGCGGACGTGCGGACAGGTTCAAAAAATGTGATCGCTTCAGAGGGACGAGATATCATACTACTTCATGTGCTCAAAGAGAACACCATCTCCCATCACCTCCCGTGTGAGAATAACACTCGGGGTGCAATACCCCAGGCCTGACTCTAGCAGGTTGCAACCACCCACAACAATAACGACGGACGAATACGCCGACAATGGGCTCCCTCTCTCCTGAGCCCACCAAAACCCCAAGCGCCATCGACGCAAACATCAACACCACCAGCAGCCCGCAGTCCATATTCCACGTCGTCCACTTCCGTTACTACGCCCACATCCCGCCGTCGACGCGGGCCGACGTTGCACGCCGCTTCCTCGCGCTGCAGTCGGCGTGTATCCTCCCGCGCACCCGCAAACCGTACATCCGCTCCTTCACGGGCGGCCGCGACGTCAGTGTCGAGGATCTGCACAAGGGCTTCCACGCCGTCTTCATCCTCGAGTTCGCCTCCCAGGGCGACCGCGACTGGTACGTGCACGAGGACCCCGTGCACCGGAACTTTGGCGTCGGCGTGTTGACGGGCGTGGTGGAGGAGGTTATGGTTGTGGATTTTCGGAGGGGCGAATTTTGATAATGCGCACAGATTCCTGCATTTCCTCGCGATTTCGGGTTTGTTTTACTATTCGGTCAGTTGCCCAGGGCGGGGGAGGCGCCTGATGATTGTGTGGAAAGAAAGAGTGAGAGAGCGAGAGAGGTGACCAAGGAGAGGCGGAAATATTCTGTGGGGTGTAGAAATGTGCCTAATTGACGGACAGACTGATGGGAGATTTTCATGTGAGACTCGATGCAGTTGCTTGTATTGTATAGGCTATGGGAAGAAGTGCCTATTTGGGGGTTGAAAAGTGCGGCTATATCTCGATTGCGTTACATGTAAACAAGACTCCTCCCAACGTGACATCCTGGGTATTTATCGACATGGTATCACCTGCGACACCAACACGCCCCATCGACATGGCCCTCAAACCTCGACTTCTCGTCCCTCGGGGATCTTGAAGTCCTTGAATTTCCGCGCCGGAACCCCTGCCTCGAACATGTAGTCGAGTTCCTCGTACGTGCGTCCCTTTGTCTCGGGAAGGCGGAAGAAACACCAGATCGTGGCGATGGTACTGAGCCCGCCGAAGAAGAACCCGGTTTTACCTCTCCAGTTGCCCGAGGAGGCATTCAGCATGTACGGAACCACGACGGTCATGATGATCTGGGCGATGGAGCCGCTGCTTGTGGCCAAAGCGACTGTTTGCGACCGTAGACGAGTTGCGCCGATCTCGGCGAAGATGACAAAGTTGATGGGTCCCACCGTCCCCTGGAACAGAAATGTCAGGATGTCGAGCAGAGCAGCTTGTGCCCAGGCCAGACCTGGGCGCGAGGTGTAATGCGGAATGCAGTCCAGGATGCCAATGATGAAAAGAGAGACAGCCATCATCCCCACACCATACATATAGATGGTCCGTCTGCCGAAGAAGGACATGAAGACCCAGGAACAGCAAGTGGCCACGAAGCCAATCGCCGTGTTGCCGACACCCATGTCGAAAGAAGCGCTGATTGGCAGGCCGGCCAGGGTGAAGAAGTAAACGGCATAGCCGATCAGGGAGATGCCAGTGATGACCTGGAAGATCTGGACCATGATGGCGACCTCGGTGCGAGCACGACTCGACGCTCGGAAGCATTCGAAGAAGGTTGTGTCCTTTTCCACTTCGATCTCGTGTATCGTAGTCGCTTCGATGTTTGCAAGCGTGGCTTTGATGTCGACTTTGGGCGACTCTCGGGCGAGTCGTCTTAACGCCTTCTCGGCCTCATCGACGCGGCCTTTGCGCACCAGCCACCAAGGGCTCTCCGGAGCAAAGAAGAGACCTAGTGCTAGTATGGGAATCCAGATCCACTGGATGGCAAAGGGGATGCGGTATGCCCATTGGTCAACCCTTTCCGAAAACCCTTTGCCGACCCCAGAAGCTACAAATTGTCCAATAACATAGGCGAGATTCATTCCGGCATTGAGAATACCGCGGAGAGCCAAAGGACACACCTCCGACGCGTATGTTGGTGCCAGGACGACGTAGGTGCCGTAAAGGATACCGGCGAGGAATTCTCCTGCCGCCAAGGTATGGATGTTGTTTGCAAACATTTGAAGAAAGATGAAAGCGGTGCTGAAAAAGAGGGATCCCCAGAAGACCTTCTTTCGACCCCATCGTTCCATTGGCCACGAAGCTGTAAAGGCTCCGAGGAACTGACCTACGGGCGTTCCCATGCCGAGGACGTTCTGCCATTTCGCCGATACCTCGTAGCCAATGTCGCCTCCGTAGTTCGTGCCGTATTTCTTCACAAATGCTGGTAGGGCGTAAAAGCTGTAAATTAACCCTGAATCATAGCCAACCATGACCTATTCTTGGTAGTTAGAATAGTGTCCTCTCTTCCGGTCTGCTCTGTCGAAAAACTACACGGATTTGGAGGGACGGAGCACTCACCAAGGACCACGCAAATAACGACGCCCAGAAGACCGCCATGGGGTATAGTTTGACGGCTTCGATGACCCCCAATGAGTGCTCGATGTGAGTGGCGATCTTTGACTGCTCCAACAATTCTGCATGCTGCTCCTCCTTGACGTTGGTGATTTCACCTTTGGTATCATCCTTGGTCGAAGACATGGTGGAGCTTGAGCCCAGATGGACTTCTGATTGAACCACTTCCTGGAAGTCAGAGTCCGCTGGAAGGAATAGCGGAAACGGCAACCCTCAGTTAAAGGCGGGAATGGCGAGAGTCTTGACTTCGGTCAAGAAGACAGTCAAGCTGTCTATCTTTCGATAGTAGCTCGAAACATCAAGATAAGAGGTTGCCACCGTGGTAACGGTAGCAGTTCACTTATCTGAAGCTGTTCGATAGTATAGAAGCGAAAAAGGTGCTACCACATGCTGGAGGCAAATGTCCTTGCCACGGATCTGACCCGCTCGATAAGGACACGGATCCACGGCATGCCTCCGGGATGCGACCTCCGTGTCCTCAACGGTCTGGATCAACATCTATTGCTCGACCCTTTCCCCGGATTTTGCGGCTCGTGACCTCGCGGAGATACTTCATGAGTAAGTCGTAGTAATCGGATTGATTGGATAGATAGATGAGAGTGGACCATCAGTGAGGGGTTCCCTGCTATCTAAAAGGATCTTGAGAAAAGGACTTTTTGTTGAAGTACCTAAAGGAAACACCGACATATTGGGGAAATCCCCCAGTGCCCCGGTGAGTGACCGGAGATCATCAGGAGGATCAGAGGATTTACTATTTAACCAAGTGCAGCAGCTTGTAGCTACTGCCGAGGACGAAGAGCCCAGTGCGGGGAACCTCTGGTTGATAAGGCGGATAAGGATATGTAAGAGACCCAAACCCTTCCTTTCCTGGTTAGCTGTCATGTCACGTGTTGGGCTAAGCCCAATTAGCTATCGTATTAGCCGGCCACACGGAAACATCCACTTTTCTCCTACTTCCAGCTCGCACAATCTCGATACGTTTATGCGTTTCACGCTACAGCAACTCTTCACAGCGGAAAGTATGTCTTGCTCACAGCAGCTCTGGAGCCGCCCGTCACAGCAATCCAAATGTAGCGGATTCTGTGGAAGAGAGTGAGGTTGCGTCCCTAGATCCGGCCATGTTCCCGAGGAATGCTGCCATTGGGGGCTGTCTTCACGGTCAATCTAAGCTATCCCAATGATCTGAGCTGTCACAATGCAGACACACCAGCCTCCCACGCAGCACGAGTTTGCGCTCATCGAGACTCGCACGACTCCTAGGACTCTTGCGCATCAATCTGGGGCAAGAGATGCCCGAATTAAAACCGCATGTGCGGAATGCAAGCGAAGGAAGACCAAATGCGACGGCACGCATCCGTGCTATTCTTGTCGATGGTACAAGCAACCTGAAAGATGCATCTATACCTTCTCGCGACCTGCGCTGGTTCTCAGTCGAAAGTGAGTTTCCAACTGGTGCATCCGTCGAGTCCATGCCATGGAACATGAGTAACCGAGAACAAGGAATTTCGAGTCTGTTCGTCAACGCCTCGAGACCACGACCGATATTCTAGCAAAGTTGTTCCCTTCGCCATCTATTGATGCCCTCAGCGGTCTCTCACGCGAGGAACTACTCCAACGAATTGGCTTATCATTCGAGAGCAATGCATCCCAAGATGGACCCAGTCGAGGAAGTCTTGCTGTTACTCTACTACCTGTCGAAACCGGATCCCAAGATAGCCGCGGCAATCCGATGGACCAAGATGACACAACTTCCAGTGTTGGTCTAGACTCCCAGCAGCAGGACGATGCTTCCTCCGAGGCCGGTGATGATGTGAATGCTCTCTCGGCAATGTCCAATCAACCTTCATCCTACGTTGGTCCGTCCTCAACAATGCAGATGTTCCGCACCATACTCAGAATTGCTCCTGAGTCGGTAGGCCAACAACAACCTACCCAAAGTCCTACAACTAGCCAACGAAGTGCGTCGTATCGGTCTCCAGAGGTCAGCCACAGGACCCCACCGTCTCTCCAAATGACCGAGAGGATTGGCATTTTGATCGATGCTTATTTTCATTGGATCCACCCGGCCACTCCTATTCTTGATCAGGCCGAATTCAGAAGTGTTGCCTCTGCTGGAACTCGAAATGACCCTCCGTGGCTTTGTCTTTTCAACATGGTGCTGGCTCTAGGTTCCATTGGAAGCACGAGGACCGACTCCAGAGAACACCTCAGCTATTATCACGCGGCGAAATCCCATCTGGACGTAGAGGGCCTTGGAAACAAGAGCTTCGAAACGTTGCAGGCTTTGATTCTCATGGCCGGCTGGTACAACCATTACCGAAATCGGCCGAATCTTGCGTCTGCGCTTCTTGGAGCAGCGTTTCGCATGGCATACGCTCTGGGTCTTCATAAGGAGCAGCCCAACAGCAACCAATCTTCTGAGCATCAAGAACTGAGGCGGAAAATCTGGTGGAACCTCGTGGTCCTAGATTCGGCTGAAGCTGTAACCTTGGGCCGTACCTTGGATACCAAAATATTTGAAAGCGAGGTCAGATATCCCCGAGAGGTCGGGCCAGATGTAAGTCCCCCGCTCTTACGTGAAGAGTCCCCCCTCTTCGGGTATCAATTGTCACCTTGCTGATAACTTCAATCGTCAACAGGGGAATGATGTTGTGGAAGCCCCATCGCCTTCCTCTACTTTAGTCATAACCATCGGATTCTCGCGTATCATGACAGACATCCAAAGCCGATTGATGACATCGAATACAGTGCCGTTCGCCGAATCACTCAGCCTCGATGCACACCTGGTGGATTGGTACGAAGCTTTACCGACCTACTTTCACAAACTGGTGGGAATGAGCAACTCTGCCATATCACAGCCGTCCTGTTTGGAATGCTTTGTGCAACCGTTTTTGACCATCAGATGGCGCTACCTCAATCTCAGGATGCTCTTATACCGACCCAGCCTTATGGAGGCCGTTCTCCATCGGATCTCCTTTGGCGGGCTTACATCGGACCAGCGATTGTGCGTACGAAAGTGCCTGACGCTGTCCGGGGAAACCATTGATTCGGTGAAAGC